TCTACTTCCGGCCCAGGCAACCACTAATCTAATTTCTGTCTTTATGAATTTATCTATTCTGGACATTTCATATAAATGCAATCATATGTTGTGTGACCTTTTGCGTCTGAGTTCTTTCACTTAGCATGAAGTCTTCAAGGTCCATCCATGCGGTGGCACACATCAGCCCTTTACTCCTTTTTGTGGCCCCCAAATATTCTATTATATGGATGTACCACAGTTTGTTTATTTATTCCTGAGTTGAGGGACACAAATATATTAGAAGTAAAAAATGAATAATTACTTAACCTCAGAGTGTGAAAGCATCCTTATTTTGATACAAAATTCAGAAGCCATAAAAGAAAATTTCAACTATAGAAAGATGAAAAGTTTCTGCATGGCAAACACTACTCTAAGCATATTCCAAAATAATATAAGAAATGTTCGATATCTTGATTGTGGTGGTGGTTACATGGATGTATTCTATTTGTCAAAATTCATTGAACTGGACTTCCCTGGTGGCGCAGTGGTTGAGAGTCCACCTGCCGATGCAGGGGACACGGGTTCGTGCCCCGGTCCGGGAAGATCCCACATGCCGCGGAGCAGCTGGGCCCGTGAGCCATGGCCGCTGAGCCTGCGCATCCAGAGCCTGTGCCTCGCAACAGGAGAGACCACAACAGTGAGAGGCCCGCGTACCGCAAAAAAAAAAAAAAAAAAAAAATTCATTGAACTGTCCATTCAAAGTACATTGTATTGGAATAAATTATACCTCAATAAAGTTGCTTGTTAGGAAAAACAATATGACAAGAGGGGAAAATAATATTTGCCGATACATAGTCAAGGTGTAATCTTCAACTATAAAGGACTTCTGGAAAATGATAAGGAAAACATCAAATGAGCAAAGTATACGCAAAAATAATTGAAAGAATAGCTAATTCAAGTAGATTATCATCATATGAAAAGATGTTTGACCTCCCTCATTATAAGATACATTCTTCAACCATCAGAGTGGTGAAAATTCACAGGTTTGGCAAGGCTATGGGCAATCCCACTCTTTGTTGGCTGGATTATACAAATTGACACACAAACCAGCAGACTCTATTGAAATTACAAATGCGTGTGCATTTTGCTCAGTAATTCCTCTTCTAGGTATTTACTTTACAACTATATTTCAGCATGTGCAAAATGACTTATGAATACAATTATTAATTACCACATAGCTGCAGTGGCAAGAGAATTGATACAAACTAAAGGTCCAGCAATAAGGGATTGTTTAATATATTAAATTGGTTGCATGTAATGGAGCTGCAAAAGTGAATGGGGATTAAATGCAACGTGGTATCCTGGACTAGATCCTGGAAGAGAAAGAAGACATTAGTGGAAAACTGGTGAAATCCAAATAAAGTCTAAAGTTCAGTCAATAGTAATGTACTGTTATAGGCTGAATAGTTGTTTCTTCCTCCCTTCCCAAATTCATATGTTGAAGCTCTAACCCCTAGTGTGCCTGTATTTGGAGATGGGGGTCTCTAAGAAAATAACTGGGGTTAAATTAGGTCATAAGGGTGTGGCCCTGATCCTATAAGATTCGTACCTTTAATGTCCTTATAAGAAGAGATGCCAGAGAGCTCTCTTTCTCCCTCTCTCTCTTGCACAAAGGAGAGGCCATGTGAGAACACAGGGAAACAGCAGCAGCACCTTGGTCTTGGACTTCCAGCCTCCAAAACTTTGAGAAAGTAACTTTCTGTTGCTTAAACCACCCAGTTTGTGGTGTTTTGTTATGCAGCCAGAGAAGACAAAGACATGTACCTATGTTAATTTCTAGTTTTGACAAAGGTACCATGGTTATATAAGATGTTAGCATCAGAGGAACCTGGGTGATGCTGTACTATCTGTGCAACTTTCCTGTAAATCTAAAACAATTCCAAAATTAAAAGTTTGTATTTAGAAAAAGGAATGGAAATAAATGAATGGGGAAGAATTTTATCTAGTGATAAGGAAAGAATTACCAAAGATATATTAAATGAGAAAAGCAAAGGGTAGAATATGCTGCTTTTATATAATAATAAGAGGGGACATAGTATATTTTCATACTGTCTGATTTACATTAAAAATCTATGAAAAAAAAATCTATGGAGAGATAAGCAAGAAACAGAGCATAATTGGTACCCAAGGGAAGGGAATGACAGTTGGGTGAACTGGGGACCAAAAAAGGTGAAAGTGTTTTCACTATGTACTTTTAAAAACTTTTTTTGGTTGTTTGAACCATGTGAATTTATTTACCATTCGAATAAATAAATTTGTAAAACATAAACAATTGGGGAGGAATGAGAGGGCTTGCTCTACAGATACTAAAATGTATTTTAAAGCTTCAGTAATCAAAACAGCATGAAATTCTTCCAAAGCAGACAAGTAGACTGACAAATCGTGATTTGGCCAAAACAAACCCAAGAACATGTAAGAAACTAGCAAATGATAAAGGTGGAATTACAATTCAATGAGAAAGTAGTGTCTTATTCAATATATTATGATAGAACAATTAATGGAGAATTTAAACAACAACAAAAAAATCTCAGATCTCTTAGTTTAACCAAAGATTAGATGGCCAAAGAATTATCAGATGGATTAAATATTTAAATGTAAAAAAAAAATCATAGAAGTATGGAACTTAGAATAAAAGCTGGGCAAGCATTTATATAATTTGAGAGGGAAACTACTAGAGAAAAGAATAAAGAATTTTACCATGGACAATAAGAAATTCCTACAGAATAAATACAAAAGCCAATGATACACACAGTAAGGAGCAAATGACTAATTAGGAAAAAATGATGACCAAAAGGTTGACTTCCTTAATCTACAAAGCACTTCTATATTAAGAAAAGACTGATACCTCAATTTTTAAAATGTTATGCAAAGGACCCAAACGGAGAAGCTAATAAAAGAAAAAATACTAATAAACAGTTTTTAAAAAGCCCTTCAAACTAATGATCAAAGATAGGTAAAGCAAAATAAAGAGACACTTTTTTCCCCTATTAAGTAGGAAAAGCATAAAAATAATAAATCTGGTGTTTTGGAGGGGAAAACGACTCACACATACCCCTGGTGAGGAAGTAAATTAGAACAACCTTTCCGGAAGGAAACTGGATATATTCATGAACCAATGCCCCCTCCTTCTCCAAAACAAAAACAAACAAACAAAAAAACACATGTGTTGACCTAATGATTTCTCTTCTAGGAATTTATCCTAAGGAATTAACTGAAGAATAAAAATATGTATTTACAAAGGTGCTCACCACAGCACTGTTATAATTGTGAAAAAAAAAATGGAAACAGCAAACGAAAGGGAATTGGTTTTATTAAATGAGGGTTCATCTATACAATGAAATACAATGAAGCCATTATAAAAGATGTAGAGCTGTATTGACAGAGCAAAGACATTCACAATATATTGCCCTCTGAAGAAAGCAAATTACAGAATAATTTAGATGTATGTAAGATCCTGTTTCTGTCAAAATCCATATTAGGTAATATATATCGTTATGCATATGTACTGAAAAACTTAAGAGTGGTTATCTCTGAATAGTGCTTTTTTGAGGGGGTGACTCTTTTCTTTCATATACTTTTTTCCCTAAAATTTCTTCTGAAATCATATATTACTTCACTGGACACACAGCTTCCTTAGCCAGTCTAGTTTTCGTTAAGAGAGAGTTATATATGCAAATATATATTTCTCTTTCCCAGGTTATGTCTCTGAATCTCTGAGTTAACTGTAAGGACCAGAAATGAATATTAAAAAAACCTTGCCTCGAATTTTGACTTTTGCTTTTGATGAAGAGAACATCTAGGAATGAGTACTTTCAACAACAACAACATCAAATTATAAAAACAATTAGCCCTAGGAAGAACAGAGTAAAAATAAGCATGATGTCAGTTTGCCAAGGAGACATCATGGTTCTGAGAAGTCCTAATTGAGAGCAAACTATTGGGCTGGAAATGAGCAACAACTCAGGAATAAATTATGCATGGCCACTGTTAAATATTTTATCCATCCTTAACCATTATTTATCTTCGCAAGGTTAAAAGAGGAAAGACAAAGAAAATAGATAGTAAGCATTATCAGTCTTGTCATCTTTCCTCCATCCTAGAAGCCATCAACATTCAGGCACAAACCCGGCAAAAGAGGAAAAACTCTAACCATGATCACAATAAGCAATCGGCAGGCTGAACTTGAACTTCACGACTTGATTAAGGGATGTCAAGGTGACCTCACCTTCTGCATCCAGTTTGTCACATCCCTCAAAATCATGAACATTTCGCTCTGCTTAACATGCTGTTTTAAAAATGAACGTTTATGAATTCTTGGCGACGTCCAGGCAAAGGGGTTTTGTGTTCCCCTGGTACCCACGCAGTGAGCGGGAAAGGACAGCGAGGATATTTGAGGAGCTGTCAGGAGTTGATGTAGCCCATTCAGCCCTTTGCCATTTGGCCAGCTTCCCAGCCACTCTGACTCCTCCCCTGGCTCTCTCCCTTCACTGTTGATTTCCTCCCTCTCCGCTGTCTGCTTGGCTGATGGAGGCCCATGCCAGTCCCACTGGGCACGGGCCCTGTGAGCACCAGTCAAGGCCCCGTGGTGGTGGAGGGAGGACATGGACGCCAGCTCTCTAGAAAAACCCTCACGGGCCGCAACTGAATTGCGAAGACTTTATTGCAAAGGTTTGACTGTTGCCTTCCACAAGGGAATGAAAAATTATTACGATGGCCATTTTGGGGTGAGGTTTGGAATCATTTTTCAAGTATTGTCTGGAATTTTGTATATGCGTGTGTCAGAAGCATACATTACGTGGTTATCCTTTTTTTGGGGGGGGGGGGGGGAAGGCAGGGACAGCATGTGGGATCTTAGTTCCCCAGCCAGGGGTCGAACCTGTGCCCCGTGCAGTGCTGAGTCCTAACCACTGGACCACCAGGGCAGTCCCAGGGTCACTTTTTTTCGAACCTGGCTGTGAACGAGCTTGGCATGTGGGTAGCTCCCCAAGCAGGGATTGAACCTGTGCCCCCTGCAGTGGAAGTGCAGAGTCTTAACCACTGGACCACCAGGGAAGTCCCTTTTTATCCTTTTTTATTTTTTTGCATTACACTAATGTTAATTCCACATTCTGGCAGACCAGATTTGTGTGTGTGTGTGTGTGTGTGTGTGTGTGTGTGTGTGTGTATGTGTGTGTGTAAATGCATGTACCCAATTTAAACATCAACTAGTTAAAAGTTGTCTGTATGGGTGTTTTTACTTTTTTTAATGTTTATTAATTTTATTTGTTTGTTTGTTTGGGTATAGCTGCTTTATATGTGTTTTTAAACCAAGAATCCTTTTCCACATTTTTCTGCTTTACCAGATAGAGATTCAAACAAATGAAATCTACCTTCTTGTTAAGTTACCTGGTGTGGATTGTTACTCCTGAGAGTGACTGATTGGGGATTCTGATTCCAGATGATTCTGGGGTTAGTCACTGATCCACCCAGGAAGCAACACTGACCAGGACTGCTGTTCCCATGCTATCATCACCCGGCATTGTTGGAGGCCCACATTCTAAAGCCCTCTCCTTCAAGCTCCCTTTACCCATGCTTGGCACGTATTTACCAAGTTAATGATTTAGTTTCTGAGTCACTAAGCATACAGATTTTTGCTGGAGTCACCCCGGGTACATACCTGAGACATCAGCTGAAGGCCTCTGGGAATGTTGGGGAAAACCTGATTTGCGACTGACTACCCTACTGTAGATTTAAAGCTAGCACGCGCTGGCAGGACAGAAAGCCTGGGAACAGAACTCTTATGTTCCATAAGAACAGTGCCCTGTTTCATCTGAGTGGAACCTGTTCCAGGTCTTAGTGGAACAATGCCACGAAAGCTATTTCCTTGTCGTTTCAGGCATCGCTAGGAGATGGGATGGAAAAGGAATGCTGTACTGATACAATCTGTGAGTTGTACTATTAGTCAAATTCTAGCCTTTTTTTGTCTTCTCTTTTGGTGGATAGCCCAGAACAAAAATCCAACCTGGAGTTTTCAGAGGCTTATTTTCTGCACACCTCTAATGATTTGTGTGGGGAATTACTGTATTCGATCAACCTTGCAATTCTGTAAAGTCAGATTATACTAATTTAAGAAAGTGGAGTCCCTTGCACAGGGGGCTGGAGACTGAAGCTTACTTTCGCCAAGTTAACAGTACAGTGTATGCCAGATGAGTAGATGAAGGCTTTCTATTATGAATTTTAGAAGACCTTATAAGCCATGCTCATTAAAGCAGTTCTGCTAAGAGTGAAGGAGAGATACAGGTGGATCTGAGGACTTCTCAGACTGTAATATGCACAGGAAGCACCTGAGGAGAGCTTGTTAAAATGCAGATCTCTGGGCTCCACCAGCAGAGGGTCTATTCAGCAGAACCGAGGTGGGGCCTGAGCATCTGCATCTCTAACTTCCATACAAGTGATGCTGAAGCTGCTGTCTGGGGACCACACAGTTGGAGGACTGCTTTGGGCTGGTCGCTGAATCCCTCTGGAACTCAGCCATCTCCCTGAGAAGTGGACAGAACAGCTGACATTCAGAGCGCTTATTAATCCTCAGGCACTGTCCTCAATCCTCGCGGTGACCTATGAGGAGATGGTTTCACAGTAAAGGAATGAGAGCCTTTGATGGTCCATGGTTCTGAACTTCTGAGACAGCGTTGGCAAACTGGTAGCCTGCAGGCCAGCTGGGGCTGGCAGGTCTTTTTGGTCTGTCTCACGAGTTGTTTTAAAAATCAGGATGTTTCACGGGAAATTCTGGATTTCTGGCATCTTCTTAAAAGTTCGAAGAGCTGGCAACGCTGGGCCCATACATACCCAAGTGGCAACAACGCAGTGGGGTGTGTGTGTAAGGGGAGACTCTGGCTTACCAGGCCCATCCACCCTACCCCATTCCAACCCCTTGGGCATCACATTTACCCATTACTCTAAGACCACGATTCTCTTGTTTCTGTATTTCAAAAGTAATGAATTTTGAACTTTCTGCCATTTCAGATTAAAGTTTCTATGTACTCTTTATACATTACATTTGTATCAGATTTAGTTATGGTAAATACAATCAAAATAAAACAATATCTGAAAACACAGAAGCAAACGTTGCCATTATTATGAGATTTGAACTTTTCCATCAAATTCAGAACAGGCCACTAGACCCCAAATTTCATTTCCACTTTTACCATTTTCCTTTGACAGACGACTGCCCTCTGTCCCCATTTACCTTTTGCACAGTACCTTATGCTTTTAACTCTCTCCTTGACGAGAAATGTACACCCAAACACTCTTAAAAAAAGCTGCAATTGATGCCACTGTGTTCACTTCCCTTTCACAGGGTCCTTCTTTTGTGAGGTGACAGCACCCTGATTCCCTGATTCTTCTTTGAGGAACACCCCTCACCAACCCAGCCCAGATGTGGGCTCAGGACCCAGACAGAGCCAAAGAGAGTGGGCTCTGAGGCTTTGGCTGTGATTGGTGGGGAGCGGAGGCTCGCTTCCGGGTGGGTAGTTAATGACAGAAGGTACACTAGAGTTGCTGCAGGCCATTTTTGTCACCACAAAGGGGTAATTTGTCTGAGAAAAAGCAAAGCAAGAAACAGAAATTCTAGCTTGTGTTGTAAATACAGCAGCCACTCGCTCTGTGTGGCTATTTAAATTCATTAATTAAAACTACATAGAGTTAAGAATTCAGCTTCTCAGTTGCACAAGTCACATCTCAAACATGCAGTATCCATGTGTTGCCTAGTGACTCCCGTTTGGACTGAACAAATGAGCAAAATAGGCCACTCCCCTCATTGTATTAAGTTCTACCAGCCGCACTGTTAGATAATATCTGTGCTGAAGTTCTAGCCCTGACTATTCAGCTACGTGAGCCAATAAATCTCTTTTTAGTGAAGCAATTCGAGTTGGATACATTCATAATCCAAAGAATCCAAAGGCAGAAGCCTTCCGTTAGCGCTCTAGAGAACATGACCGCAGGATTTAAGTTTCATTGGGGTGGTTTTCTTCCACTCAGGTCAGTGCCAGAAAAAATAATCACTGGGTCCACAAAAAGTATTTAAGCAAATGACACTCAAGAATATTCATGCCATTTCACCATCTTCTATTGTTTCTCCAATCAGAAAACAATTAAGACATAGAACGGATGGATCTGAAAACAGATACACTTCCTAAGTCCCCGTTCACGTTTATCAGCTTGAGAATAATTAGAATAATTAATACAAGAACCGTTTTCCCCCCACTGAAAAGCGTTTTAACATGAATATTAAAATGACATGATGTGCCTTCTGACACAGTACAATGAGGATATAACATCATATCTGTAGTATTCTTGCCAAAAATGCGTAACTTGAATTTAATTATGAGGAAACAGACAAACCCACACTGAGGGACAGTCTACAAAACAACGTGTCTTTACTTTTAAAAAATGTCAATATTATGCTTTGTGGACAAAAAAGAATTTTAGCCTTTTTAAAAAAAAATAAGAAGAATTATGTATTATTTGTATAATTGAAAAAAATTTTTGTTATCTTTACTAATACTATATTAAATAACTTTGTTATCCATCCCTTGGGATTATAATGAACTAGATAACTATAATGAACTAAAAAAAAGATTTTCTATTACATGGAGAACTCTCTAAGAAAGCTTTTTAAAATGGGAAAACACCTAAATACAGCTTGTAAATAAAATATGAACTCTATTTAATATTAATTTATAAAATACACATCAAATTTTGTAAAGTAACTGGACAAACACATTAGCTTTTAAAAATATATTATGTAAATCTTGTTTACAGGGAAGAACTTGGTAGACTACTGCACACTAAGGGCTTTTCAATTATTAAATCTAACAGACTAATTTCCTTTCTTTTACCTTGTAATAGCTAGTCAGACACCCACCCAATTACAGCACTTAAGTAGCATGTAATATAGCTAGAGGCACAACTAATGTACGCTTTACCTTACAGGTAACAGTCATCATCAGCAAGTGATATGCTGTCACAAATAACAAGGTCCAAGACTTTCTACGTCTTCTAAGTAAGGTGCTCCCCAATCTGCTGAGCTGCCAGAGTCACTGACACACACACAACCCTTAAAGCTTTGTCACCCACAATTAAACCTTTCATCAGTCTAAAAGATGGGAAAATCAGAGCAAACAACCAGTTGCTGCTAACCATTAATTCAAGCACCTTAAGGCAAACGACCAGAACAGGGCTAGCTTTTCCTTATACTTTTCTATGACTTCGATGATTTTTTCCTCAAATGTAATTTTTTATCCAGACTGGAAACTTGGAAGCAGCAGGGATTTAGGATACAAAGAGCACTGGGGTTGTATTTGGGGATGAAAAGGATCTTTTAGTTCCATACCATTGTTTCAGGGACCCTGAAACCAAGTGCATCAGGTACTGAGTGCAACACAGTCTGCACCAATGGATGATGTGAAGGGCTCTATGTACACGATGTCGAATTTTTACTCAGAAGACTTTCAGTTTTTAAACTGGCGGAAGGAATCGGTTATTATCCTGCATGCTGGATGGCAGAGGAGTTAGTGCAGAGATCGACTTAGCCAATGACCGGGTGACTAATTTGGGATTAGACTTGGCTCAGGAAGAGGGTCTGTTTTATCTCCGGCTTTTTACAGTGTTCAGTATAAAGTGAATTCAATCCATATAGGCAATACCTGTACCTGGGGTGGTAATAAAAAGTATTACTACGTGAATTTGAATTCAGAAGAGAAACTTTCACTTTACAAACAACTTTTGTCTTATTTCAAATAATCTTAAACAATGTAAGTGATAATTCTATATGGATATCATGCATAACCTCTCACATTATCAGAATTTAACTACATTTTAAATGCCCTAACCCTAACCCTAACTCTAACCCGGGCCCTCGGCAGTGCAAGCACGGAGTCCTAACCACCGGACCATCAGGAATTCCTGGTGTTGATCTTTTAAAAATTAAGGAAGCCAGGATCTTGTTATAACTTAGCAATTTTCTCCCTACCCATTTGCTGTAATGGGTACTTGGTAAATATTTGTTGGGTGACTTTTCATATATTTGCAGACAAGAAAGTAGCCTTTATACAAGTCTATCTTTATTTGTAAAAAATAATATACAACTAAAGCTAATTTGATTTTTAAAATCAAAGCTCATTTAGTGATAATGTACATTTTATAATAAAATTGTAGTAAAATACTGACATTTGATAGTTTAAACAAAGTAGCATTCATGTAAAAATCATGTTGCATGTAAAATTTAATTAGAAAATCCATAGTTCACAAAAGTACATATATTTTGTTGATAGCTCATGAGGACATTATCATAAATTTACTTAAGATACAGAACAAAATTCACAGTTAGCTTGACATTTAGTACTATAAAATTTTATGCTGAGTCCACTGATATTTTTGTTAATAAGGTACACTTGAAATAATTCAGACTACCAATGAATCGACATTTTATTGTATAACCAAGATCTATTGGTTTTACAATACGTCTAGCAATCAATTCTTTCACCAATAATTTAAACGAGAGATCCAGTTGAAAAGACCGTTGACATATACCCTTAGTGGGATAATTAAAAATCACTAGCAGGGCTTCCCTGGTGGCGCAGTGGCTGAGAGTCCGCCTGCCGATGCAGGGGACGCGGGTTCGTGCCCCGGTCCGGGAAGATCCCACATGCCGCAGAGCGGCTGGGCCCGCGAGCCACGGCCGCTGAGCCTGTGCGTCCGGAGCCCGCGCTCCGCAACGGGAGAGGTCACAACGGTGAGAGGCCCGTGCACCACACACACACAAAAAAAAGCACTAGCAGGTTTGATTTCCATTTTCATGAGTACATACAAGACAAATCTGTATTTTACAGTTAAAAGTTGTACAAAAAGTCAAGCCCTGAAGTATTTCTTCCCCTAAGAGAAAAGTTCTGATGTTAAACTTTGTTAAAAAAAAAAAGAGAGAGAAAGAGAGAGGTAGTATGTGAAAGTATTTTTACTTAAAATGTTGAAGGCCTGCACCGCTTATAATTATAAATGAAATGTAACCTTCTACTTATTAACATTTTGCCATTCAAGAGTCAAATTTATAGAACTCAACAGAATGTTAAACCTGGAATTAAAAATAGTGGTTATATAACTGGAAGAACTTCATGAATTCAACAAAAAGTACACTGTATTACATAATGTTGTACAGTTAACAGTTTAGTGATAACATGTGTAGTGGTAAAATGTGAGCAAAATACACTGAGTATTCTGAGTCAAGAGAGCTTCATTTAATCAACTTTACTTCATATACTTTTACCATATAGAGAAAATATCCTTCAAAACGGAGTCATTTGATTCTTCATTGTTTTAATAGCACACAATTGTTATAAGGTATCCATTCTAGCCCTAGCATAAAATTAATCAATAAATAACTCTGAGAGAAATATCCACAAGTCACAGGGAACTCATGTAGTTCATACTATTCTTAGTCTCTATATACAAGCTACTGTAGTGCCTGTGCACCTCCATACAATGAAACCAGGCAAGGAACGAAAGTTAGCAGCCTTACTCTTACCTTGCTAAGTGGATGCATCGGAAAGTAATAAATAGCCTCATAAAATTAATCGAGATACACTCTACCTGTCAAAGGTGAATACGACATACTTTTCATAAAGTGTAGGCAGTGTTCCTAGAAATCCCATTAAGGAAAACCCCAAATTTTCATATAAAAAGTGCACAAGTTTGTCCTGTGTGTAAAAATCTCTTAGTTTGGGTGCATTTTTTTTTTTAAGGAAAATAATTCACACTACTCAAATACATTAAAAGAGTAAAAAGGCAGACAAACAAAATATACACACAAACAACAAAAGGAATGATTTCTAATGAGATTTGGAATGAGGACAAGAAGAGGTTATGGGAGAGAGTCTCCCATATCACCAGAGTCGATGGAACTGCCTTTCACAACATAAGTGATGCCCAAATGGAATGAGTCTGTAAATATGAAAGCTACAAGATGGGCAAACACGGACCTGAACCTGAACTGTTAGAGTTTCTTAATTCAGGAACATAGCTTCAGTGCTTTATAACTTAGGAAGCAACCCCTAAAAACAGTCCATTGATTTGATTTCTTAGAAATTAGGGGGAAAAAAAAGCATTTGAAAAAATTACTCGCTACAATTAGCAACAGAGGAACAATATTAAAAAATCAAAATACAACATGGGGAATATAGGAGCCAAGGTCCCAAAGTACCAAAAGATAGACTCAGACTTCTTCACGTTAGAATTAAAAGATATACAGTTAAAGGAAAAATCAACCAGGCTCTGCACAGCAGGTTAAATATGCAACCACTTCAAACGGAAATGATCTAGTCCTTATGTGTAGTTCTGGGAATGTGCTCTAACATCCAGTTCTCTATAGATAAAATAGCAAAAGCACATCATTTCATTAGCAAAGGCCCCTTTGTTTTAGACTTAAATTCACCTCTGACCCACTGAAGTTTATATTAATTATCAAACTACTATTTTAATAACATTTTAAGCTTGCAATATATTTTTTTCATGCCTATCCCAGATCACTGGTTCAGAGGTATATATGCTTTAAACTAGCCAAATTTACAAGTCTCCATGGCATCCTCACTCAGAAAACATTCAAACGCGATGGTTTCATAGTGTTATGATTGTTCCATCTTCTTCTAAGAGTTTTTGATCTGGAGCATGCGTTTCAAATTCTGTATTTGTGCCACTTGCTAAGGGTACTAAGCTCACTTCATTAGAAGGAATAAAACCGTTCTGTCCAGATTCAAAACTGAGTTCTATTTGTGTTAATGATTCCAGGCTCTCGGTGTTGCGAACAGCCTTAGGGATCTGCTGTGGCACACCATTGTCTTCAATAATAATGTCATCTTCATCGCTGTCTTCATCCTCTGGCTCAAAGCTCGGTTCGATCTGCTGTGGATAGCCAGGAAGGCTGTTGTCAGTAGACTGGCCAGAGCTGCCGGAAGTCCGACTGTTCCTAATGACGTTATTCCTCTGGTTTGCTGGTCTCACTGTGATGATGAGGTTGCGGCTGTTTGCGATCATCATGTCAGTTACTTGATCTAGACTCTTCCCGGAAACTTCTATGCCATTAACTTCTAAAACTTCATCATTAACAGCTAATAGTCCTGTGCTTTGAGCCAGACCTCCTGGCACAAGTCTGGATATAAAGATCCCTGGGACCTTCTCTAAGCCATGGGGTGTCACCCTGACACTGGAGCCGTCCCGGATGTAGAATCCTAGGGGTTTCTCAGTGCCATATTTGTAAAGACGGACCCTACGATGTGTTTCTGGGAGAATATCCACGTCTATAATAGAAGACACAGGTCTGAAGTCCTGGGGCATACTAATGACTATGTGTGGCTTTTTTCTATGGTTGTCAGGACGCAACACATTGGTTAAAACATTCTTCTTCTTTATTAGTGTGTCTGTACCAAAGGCACTGTAGTCTGCTTCTTCTGTTTAAAAATAAAATAAAATAATTATAGAAATGCTGTAAAAACGCCCATTTATCTATAGTGGAATCTGTACAGAAAGGACAACTCAAATATATTTGGTACATAAACTCGTTAAATATCAGCCTGTTCCTATCGGCTGAAAATGTAGCGCAGTAAGACATGCTATACCAGAAAAGCCCAATAGGTGGCCCTCTCGAGTATTCACCATGAAGTTACCAAAAGTTGAAGTTAAATCTGATAAAGCTCAATGACTCAAACAACATTAAATATGGCAGATGAAATTCTGATAAGCCTTGCACACACATTCTTAAACACCATTTAAAACAAGTTATTTGCCTGGAGGGGTGGGATAGGGAGGGTGGGAGGGAGGGAGACAAAGAGGGAAGAGATATGGGAACATATGTATATGTATAACTGATTCACTGTTATAAAGCAGAAACTAACACCATTGTAAAGCAATTATACCCCAATAAAGATGTTAAAAAAAAACCAAAACAAGTTATTTACACTGTATTTTCCCTATGTTTGTTTAAACACCTCCAATTTGCATGTTTATCATATTTGACTCAGTGACATGAAATTGGGCACGTTTGAAGCTCAAATACCTGTATTAGATAGAGTCTGGGAGGACAGTGCACAAGCAGACCTCTTTTTACTGCGCTTCGCAGATAATTGTGTTTTTTTACAAATTGAAGGTTTGTGGTGACCCTGCACCGAGCAAGTCTACCGACGCCATTTTTCCAACAGCATTTGCTCACTTCATATCTCTGGGTCACATTTTGTTAATTCTTGCAATACTTCAAACTTTTAAATTATTATACTTGTTACGATGCGCTTTGATCAGTGATCTTTGACATCACTACTGCAAAAAGATTATGACCTGCTGAAGGCTAGGTGATGGTTAACATTTTTTTTTTTGGCAAAAAAGTATTTTAAACTTGAGTTATGTATTTTTTTAGACATGATGCTATTACACGCTTAATTTGTGCAAGAATTCATGTGACTTGCTTTATCGCGATATTTGCTTTATTGAACCCACAATATATCTGAGGTCTGCCTGTAATTAAATGAATGCATATCAAACACAGGAATTCTGGTCTTCTGCAAATACACTCTCCCTCAGTTTTCTGGGGGAGTTCTTAACCTTTCATTTTCCCACTTTTGAAAGAGGCTGAGGTATAAGACAGAGACAACAGGGAGGGGTGAGGATTCTGGCAAAGCTGAGAGCCCCTGCCCCATTTAATGGCATGGCTTTTCTCGCTCCAGGCAGCTTTTCTTCACAGACTGTAGGAATTTGCGTGGACAGTCCAACTTGTCAGAAAGTCTTGTTTTTTTAGGTTAAAAAAAAAAAAAAAAACTTCCCATTTAAAATGCCGACACCTAATTAAATAACAACAAAAACGTGTCTGAGCAAAATAACATCTGGGGGTTGAATTTATTCTTCAAGCTAGCAATTTATAATCTCTGATGTAAACCAGGGAAAACAGGGCACTAAAACTAGATCTTCTTAAATCCCACAGCTGGAGGTAGACAGTCTACAAACAACACATCTCATCAGAGGATGAGGAAACGGAATTAACAGCAGGCATAAAAGGTGAAATCACATTTCAAAAATAACTGGAATGGGGATAAACTAAAAAGTCACAATCTCCAAGGATGAAAAAAATATTTAATAAGAATAAAAAAGACAAAAGGGCACCCACCATCCCAAGAACCAGTTTAAAGTTCTAGTCTCTCTCTCTCTTTTTTTTTTTTGGCGGTACGCGGGCCTCTCACTGTTGTGGCCTTTCGCATTGCGGAGCACAGGCTCCGGACGCGCAGGCTCAGCAGCCATGGCTCATGGGCCCAGCCGCTCCACGGCATGTGGGATCCTCCCGGACCAGGGTACGAACCCGCACCCCCTGCATCGGCAGGTGGACTCTCAACCACTGCGCCACCAGGGAAGCCCTAAAGTCCTAGTCTCAATCACTGCTACAGACAACAGTAACATCACCAGACTGTGTCTGCACAGGGCTTCCATCTGTAGTCTCTTGTCACCTGACTCTTGGCCCCCCCCCGTCGGTAAGTATTATTACCTTTACTTTATAGACCAGGAAATTAAGGGTACAAAATAAGGTACAGACAGAAGACTGGCCCCAGGTTTTCTTACTAAGGCCAATACCCTACATGTTCAATTCACACAGTGAATGTTAAATGTCCACTGTGTGTCAGAGCCTGGAGAACTTTAGTATTCTTTTCTCAGTGCTGCTTGAACACTCTTCAAAAGCTAGTTTCAGATAAATGTACAAGACTAGGGGTACCTGGGGACTTCCCTGGTGGCACAGTGGTTAGGACTCTGCGCGCCCAATGCAGGGGGCCTGGGTTTGATCCCTGGTCAGGGAACTAGATCCCACATGCATGTCACAACTAAGGAGCCCACCTGCCACAACTAAGACCCAGTACAACCAAAAAAAAAAAAAAAAAAAAAAACCGGTCAGCTCTGCCCAAGCAGAATGGACTGGAAGTCACCTTGTTTAAAAAAAAAAAAAAAAAAAAAGCCTAGTGGTACCTGATTTTGGGGCATTTTCCCCCTGGGGATAATTTTGCTTCATTTATGGAGAAAGTACTTACACTGTGTTCTTACAAAGACAGAAATTTATTTATAATTTGGCTTGGGAAATAAATTGACTGACAAAAGAATCTTTTGGGCAAAATGTAGCCAAAAATCTATCAACAATGATCTTCTACTGAATGTGTTTATTCAAAATTGTATATTTCATTTTACAATCAATTAAGAAAGCCCACACAATTTTTATATGGGAAATTCCAGACCATACAAAAGGAGAACAAAACTAAGTTGCCTACATACCTATTCATGGGAAACCTGACCAAAAAACCCCCCAAATCTGCATAATTTGGCATTGCATCCAGACTCTGTTTGAATGCTCTCTGCTAAATTCTCAAAAGCAATATGCCCTAGTACAAAGGCACCTTTGTTCTCCCATCTAGCTAATCAGTTTCCAGCCACTGGGAAAAGAAATATTTTGGCAGAAAGCCAGGGTGCAGGGTGTCGGTTTAAAGTGTAAAGGTGAACATCTACAGGGAACAGGCCTGATGTTCCACCTGAGCATGTCTGTCAAAGTACAAAACTCAGAAAGAGACGGAAAGTTGGAATCCTGGCTCGTGGCAACCTTTCACTTGTATAAACCCAGGCTTTATGCAACAGTGTGTGACATAGGCTCAGCGAAACCTCACCTATCCCGAGCCTGACAATCTCAGCTCACCGAAACAGACAAGGATCTACCCCTGGAATGCCGCCAAACAGCCAAACTGGATGTCTCACTTCCTTACACACAAAAAGCCCCTGTGCTTTACTCACAGAGGAAGGGAGCCCTGCAGGGCCTCCCTCTGAGCCTCTTACTTTTTAAACATTAATTCCAAAAAACCCTGGTTATCTCACTCCTCAGCTCACAGTCTTAAGTCACAGTCAGGGGTAAGGGTCCACTAGTGAGTGGCAGGCACAGATACAAAAAATAAAAGCCTACAGTGAAGAAAAAGCAAACCTGAAAACAAACAAAAGTGTTATATAAATCCCAGCAGCATCCGTGTACAGTAACAAAACAGTAACAGTTCATGGCAGAGTCATCAAGAAAGTTCAAGATTACGACCCATTCAAGTTCAGTAGGAAGACAGGGGAAGAATGAAATGGTTTTTGAAATTGTTCTAATCGAGGGGTGGACAACCTTTTTCTGTAGAGTTTGTACAGTAAATATTTTAGGTATTGCAGGTCATACGGTCTCTTGCAAAAGCAGCCACAGGCAATACAGAATGGAGTGATCATGGCTGTGTTCCATGAAAACAGCCAGCAAGCCTGAGTTTGCCAACCCTTGTTCTAATCCAAAATGGTTAAATGAAATAGATGTGGCAACTTTAAAAGGATTAAACATCACTTAAAGCAATATTCAAAGTCTGCAGATCCCTTCACTTCCTAATATAAGAAAAATCAATTGCCAGACACTTAAGAAGCACCTGCTACTATGTGGCTAGACATCGTGCTATGTGCTGCAGATCCAGTGCACAAAACAGCTAAGGTGCTTGCTTTCATGGTGTTTACAGACTAAAATAGATGGCAATTAACAAAGAACTTGAAACCATTATATTATTACAAAGGTGCCAATAGCTGTGAAGTTTATCAGTGGGAACTCAGCCTGGTCTTCAGGGTAAGGCAAGGCTTCTCTGGGGAGTGTGGTTTATACTGAGACTGGAAAACAAACCAGTAGCTAATCAGGTAGAAGGGAGGGAAGAACTTCCGGGTGCAGATACAACAAATACAGAGCTGGCAGGATGGGGTCGGCGGAGGAGACGGTGGGAAGGCAGGGTGGGAGGGGAGAGAAGAGGAGGAGCTGGAGCCAAGTCCAGGCAGCCAGGGCCCTGCAGACAGACAGACGGCTTCCGGGGAAGTGGGGAGGATCACGGGCTTCAGCCTGAGGGCAAAGGGAAGAAAACCAAGGATTTTGGTTTTCCTACAAAGCTCACTCTGGCTGCAAGCTGGAGAAGGGACCTGCGGGGAAGACAGGAGGTTACTGCAGGTAATTTAGATGGTACCTGGCCTGAAGCAGAGGCAGTGGAATGGGGAAATAAGTTTGAAAAGTAATTAGAACACATTTTTAATAGGCTTGGTGACTGACAAAAAGGTATGTGTCAAAGGCGACACCCAGGTTTCTGTCATAAGCAACTGGCATCACATTCTGAGCTGTTACTCAGAATTTGTTTATTTCTGGGGCCGTACCTTCTGTTAAACAATTTTTCACAATTTACTATTAAAATGTATACTCCTTAGACCATTTCTAAATTAAACCCTGACTCACTAAAATATAACCTTAAAATACAACTCCCAAATAACATCCAATGCACAGTAAAGTTCTAAGAGACAGTTTAAGAGGCTGCCCAGTTCCAGGTGTCTGGGCCACAAGGCCACGTCCTAACGCAGATGAGGCTTAAAGCAAGGCCTTTCTGGTATTTCCAACATACTCCTTTGAATAAACCCATGATACAAATGTGTTTGTCTGATGGCACACAGAAACAGACTGTGACACAGCAAGAAGTTGTGGTGTAGGTATTCTGATCAGATCTGGCGAGAAGTCTGTGCAGGTCAATGGGCCTCAGACTTGGCTGATCATCACAACGGGCTTTTAAAAAATACAATTTCCCTGGCTGCATTCCAAACCTACAGGAATGACCTGAGTACTTTTTCTAAAGGTGCAACCTTTAAATATTTTCTGAGATTGTTTACCATACAATAACCACCTGAACAACAAAAAACTCTCTTCTTCCCTCAAATAAATGAGGAAATTCTAAACTCTGACAGGGTGAGGGGGCTGGCAAAAGCCCTAGGATCCTCTGCGAAAGTAACTTTTAAAATATCAGGTTTTTTGTTTTGTTTTTGCTTCCACAATAACAGCCCTGGAAATAGAGTCTGGGTTTTCTTCTCTAACAATAAATTATTGTAAAACATAAAACTTCAAGATATGCAATGACGCTACCCCCGAGTTCAAGCTATGAAGTGGTTTATGCCTTCAATCGTGAGCTTTCACTTCAAAGAAGCTTTATTTGGTAGAGGGTATCAGATTTTAAAAGGTCACATGGTTTAAAATTTAAAATCGTTTTCATGTCTGTCTTTTAAAAAAATCACTTGGTGCCACATCAAGTGCAACTGCTGCCCTATTGGTTCCTAAATTGGAAGCAATAGGCCAATAAAACAGAAAATGTGTTGTAATTAAGCAAGAAAATGTAACTGTACTTAATACCATGTTTTACATTAGTTTCCTGAATTTAACGTTCATTAAAGTTTAAGTAAAATCAGCTTTCTACTTAAGCATCTGATGAGCTCTGTTTAAAAGAAAAAAGGTATCACCACAAACTACAGGGCACTGTGTAACTCTGTAAGACAGACAACAAACATGTTAACTATACCTAAATAACCAGAGCGTAATCTGGTAAAGTTGAAGGTTGGGGGGCCCTAGCTAGGGTGGTCAGAAGAGGCCCCTCTGAGAAAGTCATCTGAGCTGAGAACTGAGGGAGGAGGAGGCAGCCATGGGGCCAGCTGCAGGAAAAGCGTTGCTTACAGAAGGAACAGCAAGTGCAGAAGCACAGAGGCAGCAAGAAGCCCGCTGAGTCCTAGGGACAGAAAGCAAGCCAATGTGGTTGCTGTGAGGTGGGAGTGGGAGAATGGAGGAAGGAGACGTTGCTGTGGAGCACAAATCAGGACGTATTTTATTCTGGATGCAACGGAAACCACTGGAGGGTTTTCAGCAC